CTCTTGAAGCGAGGATTAGTTTCCTCGTCTTTCCCAATTTGACTTCGTGAACTTCTAACCTAATGAACCTAATGTCTTTTTAATTCTGGGCCAACTGTTGTATGCAAATCCGAATTCCGATTAGTTTGCAGTATGTGAATCCCATCATTCACCTTCTTTCTCTGTTTTGTTCCAAAGACCCGTGGTCGGAGACTTTTTGCTTGTGTCTGATAATTTCACTCCTTTTAAGTGTCAAGTTGCCATTTTTTTTATTAATTTACCATTTGTGTATATGATTTTACACTCAAGTTTCAGTAATATAGAGCAATTTGAAAGATTGAAGATTGCTTCTATCTGGAATATGTTCCAAATGACGTGGACACGAAAGACTCACTGATTTAAATCTAAATAACTAACACCATGAGACCCGTCCTGTGAATCTAGAAATGGATATCGTATATCAATTTAACTACTTTCACTGAAAATATACCGACCCAAAAGTATTTTCAGGCGACCCAGCTTTGAATTGCGACTTATTGGCTGGGAAACACTATTATAACATACGCGCATAATGAAAAGCTGCATTTGAAAATATCTGCTGCTGCTGGAACTAACAATATCTTGAGAATTCAAATCAATAGTGGAATTTACTAGAAAATAAAGTCAATAACTTTTAAGGTATTTGTTGAAAAAAAAAAGTTCCGGAGGTATTTTTAGGCGACCTAGCTTTGGATCGCAACCCATTTGGATTTGGAAACACTGTTATAACATACACGTAGAAAGGAGAGTACACGTTCAAAATATCCGCCAAAATATTAACAATACAAGCCTGCCAAATGCACACAACATGAGTTCAAGTGAATTGCGCACAACTCTGGCACAAAAATAACCCCGGTGGAAAACAGTCAAGTATTGGTTATAGCAAGGATTGTTATGCAGTGGGATGATCACGACGATGCAGTAAAAGATAATACTATCACGAAAACACGACGAAATTCCTACATTTTATAGCTCATTTTCTTTGTGATTTTCCTGCACAATGGGATTTTGTTGCTATTTCTTGAAATGCAACTCACAATTAGACCGAACCCCATCCGAAAATCCTACAAGGCTTAACTTTTGAGCTCATAACATGGTAAGAGGCAGATCAGATATTGAAACGTCACATGATGAAACAGATATTATTGTTATCCAACCCCCTTGCTGTTATTCCAGTAGATACTGCTGTTATTAATGCAGATGAACTCGATTTTTTCGTAATGATTTTTGGACACGTTTAGTGGACATAACGATCGTTTCAATATTATGTTGTTATTGTTATTTGTCTCCATCATTTTAAAAAAATCGCTTTTCTCTTCGAATACTGTACCAATTGCTTTGAAATTTTCAGTGGTTAGAGAAAAAAATGTTATCCAGAAGGCTATTACTTTTTTTTTCGCTATGACGTTATCAAAATTATTGCCATTGGTTTGCGCTGCGTGTCCATATATTTGAGCATAGCTCTCTTGTTTATTTTTGCGATCTAATGTTAAGATTTACTGGCATCCCCGATTTAAAAACGGCGAATGATGCATATTATTAAATCTGCTGAAAAGCACCAAGCAGTATTACCAAACTTGCTTCCAACACACGGTTTGAATGAATGACACTGTTACTACATATTGTGGCATTGTAAAAATAGCAGTGTAAACTGTTATTCTTTAGAACAAAAAGACATATTCTATAACATGAATGTCGTCAAAAGCTCTGCAGTAAACCTATAGGTTACTAATCGAGTGAAACTTTATGCATGAACATGGAACTGCGCGCTACCACGTACAACCGAAGCACTCGGACAACGTGTGTGATGTCTTAGTGATCAAAGAGTTTGAATCAAAGTATGTCAATGTAACTGTCCATAGATATGTGAAGGTCGAATATCCCAATCTATTTTAAACTAATAAAACGTTTTTCCAGAGCCACGGATATTTACTTATTTGAGTGAAATAAACTATCATTTAAAAGTTTCTGACATTGTAAAGAGATTTAATGTAACTATATATTCAAATAAACCCTTGAAGTTCTGAAATTATTGTTTATGTAAACATAAAAAGAGTGAAAAATATGAAAAAAGCAGAGTTTGTGTTGGGGTTGACTTTTTGCTTTGAGTAAGCAAATGAAAACGTATGTAGAACAAATTGCTCAATATTATAAGCTCCGCACCCACCTAGTTATCACTATTTATGTCATCAAGATTATATCTAAACAATAAAAAAAACTTTGTCTTGAAACGACGCTCGGTTCTGATTCCTTCGGACTAAATGTGGATGCATTTGCTATGGAAGACATTTAAGGTCATAAGATTGTGTCAATTAGAAGTAACGATTTTGTTAATTTAGATATAATAAACATCACGTACATCATCAACATGATTAGCATAAATCTTCTCGAATCAACCTCCAACTTTTAGTAAGACAATTTCGGAAGGATTACAATCACCCCTTCGCAATTATAACCCCCAGTTTCTACAACACAGTGATATGTGTATGATGTTTTTATTTATTTTTTCAAAACTTTTTTTTCAGTCTTTTTATGGACCTGACAAATACTGACTTGTTCCTATTACATAATAAGCTCTCGTGATTAAATTTTTTTGTTTTAAAATGATGTTCCATCATCAAATAATATCAACTTGTAATATTTTCGCAGTCAGTTGTTTGGTCTCACTTGAATTAATTTGACAGACTGTGGATAACAGCCATAATATTCAAAAATATTCTCTTTATGTACAGATCTGCCCCTACATCTGTCAAACTTTGCAATGCTTAAATACTTGTTAACTATCTGGAGCGCTAAATTTTTGTTAGGATTTTTTCCTAATGCTGTTGTTGTATAAATCAGGTTACTTCGCAACAATTTTTACCAGCAATTGAAGTCGCTAGAGGTAGATTACTTTGATTATTCACTTTTAAAAATTCTTATAGAACATGAAATTTTACCCAAATTTGTCATTTTTACCGATAATATTCCACCACGTAGCGTTACATCAGCCCATTTTGCCTTTGTTTGAAAAGATCCGGCGCTCCTGCTCAGCCCTGGGCTATGGAGTAGCAGTGGTCGGGAGTTTGTCATGTTCTCACTCGAGTCATAGCCGTATTTTCAAACTCTTCAGTATCAGGGATCAAAAATATTAATTCGCCGGATTCGAATTTTTGTCAAATCGGAGTCAACCTTTTTATTAACCTGGATTCGGAAGTTGAAGTGAAGTTTTTATTTTGTTTTGTATATTTTGAATGACTGGATACCGGATTTCAGTGCAGTGTCGCAAATGGCACTGTGGTTAGTCATTGAAATATTCGAATAAAACAGGGACTAATAGCAATGAAGCCCCATGTCTGTCTAAATACGCCCATCTTCCCTAACTTACAAATCTTTGTTGATGTAATATTACTAAGGGATTTACTTTGTCCTAACAAAGAAAAAAGTTTATCGTTTATGCTTTAGATCCGTGTTTCTCAAACTTTGTTTTGGCAGCGCTCCTTTGGGCAACTTTTTGACTATCAAACGCCCCCCTGACAAAAAAAATTTAAAACAAATTTATTTTTCATTTATCATTGGTATAATGTGGGTTTTAAGCCTAGTAAAATGCCACCGGCTTATTAATATATGGCTTCATTTTAATCAGAAACAGTCTTGAGTCTCCCCGCTCGACATTATCGAGGGGGTTTCTTTTGATATATAGAAGCGCGGTCACGGCACTAAACGCACGCTCTACCAAGTATGAGCTGGCAAAAGCAATGAAAAACTTATAGCCCGATCCCATACGTAGGGATATTTCAATTTCATTCTGTAGCCAGAAACAAGAAACACTGAATAACGCTTTGAAAGTATAGTACCAATTAATTGTAGTGGTGCATTTTCGCTCATGGAAATTCAGGGTTACCCATAAAAGGTGAACCAGGAATTTTCTCTTTACTTCCACAAAAAAAAACTATTTAATTTTATTTGCGATTGAACTTGCTGTTTTTGTATGATTATATACAGAAGTTCAGGAATTTAGGACGCTTTGTACAAAAAGTTATGTCCTCTCTCTAGAACATGTTGCAAATTACCTCCATGGCGATATAGGCTAATTTGCACGAGTCTCAAATTGTCTATCACTCCCTAGTTTTCTGCTGACGCGGATTTCTGCTGTTTCGTCATGTAACTAGCAACAAAATGTTTACTGGGGCACAGCACCCCTCAAAGCAAGGCCTTGTGTATTATTTATCAGTCTTGTTATTTAATGATCCGGGTCCGATCTGGCGTACGTCATTTCAATCAGATGGTCCAGCTCTCACGCGATGCTCTGAACAATACCAAAATTATAAAGTACGGATGCTGTACTTAAACCCCCGATTTTAATCACCTTAGAATTCGATAGTAAAATGAAGCTGTAGATCAAAACAGAACAACCATACGTGCATGACATCATATGGGGCATGTTGAAGGAAGCGTATGCCACGTGCTATACTAGTATTATTATGAAAGAATACGGATTTAAACGAGACCCAATAAATTCTACGTTAAGCGAGAAATTTCTAAATACGAAACCGCTAGCTAACTAGGTTGAACCAAAACCTAGAAGTAAATTAAAATGACAGATAACACCACAGTTCTTGTGATTGCCCGAAATGATGTCAATCGCCCAGTTTGACAGCCAGCGCCCCCCAATTGCCCATATCGCCATCGGCGCCTTTACACAGCTTAATGTAAAGTAGGCGAATAAAACTAGTTACCTCCACATTGGTACAAGTACTTCTGGAGCGACCTCGCCACACTGATTGAACTATAACTTATCTATTTTTTAAATTTGTTGGGATTTTTTGTAAAATAATTGTTGATATCTGCTGGTGAAATGCTTATACCGCGTAACTGGGACTAGTAGTCACATCCCCAGTTTTGTTTTTGTCAGTGTAATTTTTTCTTGTACGGTACAAAATCGATCTGTGAGTAGAGGATGAAGCGACTAGTTTGCACTCACTATAAGATTATAACATAGGCAATGTTGCAAAGTTATATTGATATTAGCATACAATCACACATATTGGTAATATAAATATCAATAGAAATATCACGAAAAATTGATGGAAAAGATAAAAGACGTGGCTACAAGGCTTATCACGGTATTGGTATAACTATAAAACATTGAGCTATATAATTTTGATACTCCCGTAGTATGTGTACGAGGTTAGAGTAAGGCCATAATTTTGTTTCGATTTCCTTATGTTAGTACTATTACGAGTTCGGGTTCTATCTGTGTCAGTCATGTGAATAAACCCCCTTCCCATAGGCTTCCGTCCCTTCAAACAACTTGACAAGCTGATGTAGAGTACACGAACAAAATTAGTTACCCCCATATCGGTACACATACTTTGGAGCGCCTATTTTTTTTTAAGCAAGTTAATTGAAGTTGTTATACCTTCACTGTTCACCTACGACTTCATAGTTAATAAAATCTGAACATGAAAACCACGTGGTCAACAAATTGTGGCAAATACAGTTTTCCCAAAAATCAGGTTATAAAATAAAACATGAACATAGAGTTGGAAATGATCGATCGAAACGTCGCTTTTACTGCTGATAGAGAAATCAAAGTCAACAGCGGTTTTAAAATCACCCGGATTGATTTTTCACAAATTTCGCAGTTTAAATTGTCAACTGATACATGGAAACAAATCTCCTAATAATTCTGAGTTCAGAGTTGGGATCGTTCTTTCTGAATAAATATTACTTGGCAGAATTTTCTTCAGAGTGCGAGGCCCGACAGATATTACAAATGGATTGAAAGTGTAACATTTTGAAAAGCTTAATTGTATTTCTGTGGCGTTGGTTTGAGCGAGGCTTGAGGGCTCAGCAGTGGATAAATCGTTTAGGTTAAAATTCATCACTGAGAGCTTATTTATATTGGGAAGTATTCACTTTCAATTAGCTTATACCAATGACTGCCTTCTTGTGCATATATCTACTAACAAAATATTCCAAGAATTGTGAAGATCTGTGCCCACAGAAGAGAGTGTACAGTTGTACATTTTGTCGTGTTTATTAGTCATTGTCCATCGTCATTCGTCACTTTTGTGCTTTGAGATGAATTCATTTCAAACTTTGGCAATCATAACCTGGAAAACAAAACAAAGTGGTCTCAAAGTTGGAAAATAACAATAACTATATTCAGAATTGATCTAACTCGAATAAGAAGTAGTGGGTTGAGATATCCAGTATCTGAAATTTTGCTGTTGTGGCATCACTGTCCATAATTGATATTGCCGCTCTATTTGGGGGAATCGGGTGGAAGATGTCAAAACCAAAAGATTAGTTATGCATTCATCTTTGGATCTGAGAGTCTGAAAAGTCAGGAACTCAGCCTCCCCCACTTTATACTTTAAAGATTCAGGAAAAACTTGGAAAAAATCTGGAAAAATACTAATAACAACTAATCGATGGTCGTTGTGGATACCAATAATAGTTTCATAATGCCGTATACTTGCGGGCCAGTTAGGCTCTGGAAATTTACCATTTATCTTAGAATATGCTACCTCTCAAAATATCCTATATTTTTCACATCAAGTGGCTTTCCTGTAGTAAATGGCACATTATTTTTGAATGGAAACGCTTTATAGTAAAAGTATGAAAACGGTCATAACATGTGGAAGCGTTGAAGTAATGGTCGTTTATCGCCGTCCACTTGCTTGAAATAATATTTTCAATAGAATGCTATCATTAGATTCAATTTGCACAAGTATGATGGATGGACATAACATTTCATATATTTATGATATATGAACATATTGATAAAAGTGTTTTAGAAAAATATCAGAAAATTCAGTTGCATTTTGAAGCACTTATGAAAATTGACGAATGACATCGATCATGAAGCGGACTAGATAGCGCCATCTAATGACCAACTAAAATCCGAAATTTAATTCAAATGTTTTTAGTTTAAGAACCAGAGGTGATAGTTTTTACGGCATTTTTGTCAATTCGCCCATTCCATAAAAAGTTATTATGCTTTAGTAACGGTAACGGTACCGATGAGAGACTTTCATATATTTGAGCATTTTTTTTCTTGTTCCTAAGCACGAAGGTAAACACAATGTGTGTCCACCCGCCGTACTTTGATCTAAAAATGCGTATCGATACACACAACTATAGACAAAACCCTAGTTCTTCCAACGCACAAATATAGCACGTTTTTTTTTGCCTACTATTTGGTGTCCACTTCACATTTCTCCTGAAAATTTGCAGTGTAACCTGATATGGTTTACACGTACGAGTGATTTTAAAAAGAGTTCTCAATGGGAAAAATAGTGTTTTTCGTACAATTCAAAACAACCCTGTAACATCCATGTTGACTTGATCTGCTCTGGGTCACGCACCAAACCACGTTTATTGTGGGTTAGGACCGCCCATAATTCTATATAGTTATCGTGACTCTCGAAATTTCTGGACCCCTCCGTAAGTTTGCCTAGATTTGTATCTTTATTACTGAGTGAGTGCGCTTGATGCACTACCATCATTTCAAATAATTTTAGTAGGTCTCGCCATTTTATTGGCTGTCCCTAAATCCTCTCGAAGGTTAGTTTCCTTCGCTTTTTTATACGTTCCCATGACCATAATTGCAAATCGTCATAGGATAAGACTTTGCTATTGCACGTACCGTAAAACGAGTTAGTGTAGGATTAAACATATTTGTCTTACAAAGTGTCGTCAAAGATTAGATTGAAAAAATGACGATTTTATTACTATGGGCTAAATTTCAGACGCTCCTGAATTATGTGTACCAATATGGAGGTAACTAACTTTGATCGCCTACTTTACATCAAGTTGTGTAAAGGGACTGAAAGCTATGGGCAGGGGCTATGGGTTCACTTGGCTAAAACAGACAGTGCCTGAACTCGTAATAGAATTAAAATAAGGGTTTACGCAGGCGTTAATGAGCGTACTAACCGTGATTCAGGTCTATTTGTTTTGTGCATTCCTCAAGTTAAGGATCTTAATAGAGGATAACCCTCGAAATGGATCAGAGATATCGGTTTTCAGACAACATACGGGGCATGTGTGGTCGTCAAATTACTGCTATCGATTTTCCATTTGCCTTGCAGAATTCCAGAGATTTACAATTAAATTTTATTTGGTTGTACTTAATTAAACTTTATTTTGTTGGCTCGCAGTGTGAAAAAGTTATGGTGATATTAAAAAAAGTAGAAACTCGTAATTTTGCGCCAAGCGAATTTTGTTTTATGTTCGCACTTTGCCCTACTGTTACAGGCTGGAAAGTTATATACCTTTAAAAAATAAAATTGAACTTTACGGTCGACTGAAATTTTTGCTTAGACGTCCGCATAGAAAAAAAAAATTAGAGCGATAGAGGGTTGCTTGCACTTTGACCCAGTTACATCAGCGCCACGTACTAGAAATTGCGAATTCATACGTTTCCATTTGGAGTCTTACCCTTGAGTCTCACTATTGGTATAACAATTTATTCTTAGATTAGAAACGGCCGGCGTGTGAGGCCGCGGCGTTTAATAATCGCTGGACACAAAATGAGCAGAAACCTAAAGACGGCCTCCAATTTTACCCATCTTTACAAGGAGCTGGGTAATTTTAGAATAGAATAGAAACTGAACATTAAATATCGGCACCCAATACGAAAAGAATCTTGTTTATATTGGTAATTTTGACCATGCGACCTTCATTGCTATGTCCAAAGTTATCCGCTCAAATCCATTTTTGATGGATATAATTCAACCAAAAATATTAGCTTTGCACGTCACACATCCCCATTATTTCAAAAGTAAATTGTAATTAAAATCGCTATTAAAGTCCAACTGACTCTTGTTTCAGACGAAATTACTAGAGATTTTGTCGACTGTAAATTGCCCGCCTGCGGTGTGGTCCCATACGATACCTCTAAGTGCAAGCCTGCAGATAATTTGTCTCTATTCAGTTTGTTGACTTAAGGTTTGAATTAGGACAGATTGGATGAAATGTTCACAGTTTTAAGAGTTCAAAGTAACTCCACTTAAAATAGGGTTAACCAAGGAACATGTTGAATGCTTTACGTGATTAGCAGATGAAATAGATCGATGCCTAGTTTAGATAATAGATAGATAAACGTCACTTAATCACGCTATATTGAAAAACGGTTAGTTATAGGACTAGGAATGAATAATAATCTCAATCGTCATTTGAATGGTCAAATCAAAAAGGTTTTTGCGCTACCATGTGAACAGCTAGATTTAGTATTGCTGCATAATGTATATACTTTCTATAAAATTATGTTTCAAAACATTTTCCATTCGCTATTTAATTGGCGTAAACATAGGGGAATGGGCGTTGCACCGCATCATCTTTTATATTGGGGAAGCTACTCAAGATGCGTGGATCGCACAAGTCTGTGTGAGAAGGAGTTATATTGACTCTCCCAATTGTCTTGGTTGAGAAATATTTTCATTACCTTTGTCTCTATTTCTCAATTCCAATTCGAAAGAGGGAATTTTGAGTCCGAAATGGCAAAGTCAAATCCGGCCTAATATTTCTATTTTAAATGCTTTTGATTTGGACCTAGAAGTGGACGACTTTGCTTCATTTAATATTAGTACCATGATTATTAATGGACATAGAAGTGAGAACGTAATCAAAATAATCAAAAATGTTAATGTTTATGCTCGGGACTAACCTAAATGCACGGAAGGTAAACTTAATGTAATCATTGTAAACCTTATCTATTTTCTTTATGTAATAGTTTTTTTTTCGTACAAAATCCTTACCGAACGAAGTGCGCTTGAGTTTCAAGAAAAACATGAAAAAAAACGCAGTCGCTAAATGTAAATTTTGACAAAGAAAGGGGGATTCTGAAGTCGCTATACAAATTAAATATTTGGTATCGGATACAACTACCATAAGGTGTGACAATCAACGCAATAAATAACCAGAGTAAAGAACTTATCTTGGAAACTCTGGGGATTAACTTTGCCAAATAAGGTAATTGATTTCAATTTTCTTGTCAGATGAAAACTCACCTTGAATGTTATATCCGCGGCGTTTATAAAAGGTCCCAGTAGTCAAATTCAGCAGACACGAAACTAAACGTAGTTTTGTATTCGAATCTGAAAAAAATAAAAGTTAGTGTAAGAAAATGTTACAAAAGATAATTTAATATTGGAACAGTTTTTTTAATAAAATTCCAAAGAGTATAAAACAACAATTATGAGGTGACCGAGGTGCAATAATCATGCATAATTAACATCGATCCCTAATATTGCTTTGGATGGAGGAAGAACGTGTTATCGATTTAGTTTTTATAATAACTTTTTAGGCTTATTTCAATAATTTAAATGGATAATGTCGAAAACTAAAGCGAATATCACGAGTTATTTCTATATATTTCTTATTGCCGACTATGACCGACTAGAAGACTATATCCGGGTTCGTTACTATTGTCAATAGGTTTCAATAGAATAAAACCAAATTTGATTAATGTCAAAGCGATCAAAATGACAAATCTCTTCGTGACTCCATGAATCCGATTTTTTATGTAAATATTTTACATGAAATTCATGCGATTTGTTTAGGATTTTTCAAATGCCTATGAATCGTGACTTTCTCATGAAGTCCTTTTTTTTCTTCCATTTGAAATCTTTCTTTTTATGGGGTGTTTCGCATCAAAAAAGAATCCAGACAAACAGGTATTATACATACAAGTAGCAACCGCAGGTATTGGTGACAACTTAGTTTTGTTGTTTAAAAAACCACAAGTTCGAGGTAGCTTATCAAAAAGTAAATATTACAGGTTGGAACATATTCTAGAGGTTCCCAAACCTTTCAGAGCTAAGACCCACTATTTAGTACCACAGCTTATGGCGATCCATTTAACTTTAATAAATTATTAAAACATTGATAGAGAAAACAAATTTATTTTCTCAATTTAAATTTTCAGTGAAGCTAGAATGAAGAATGTCACAATCACAATATCTGTTACTTGATTTTTGTATAAGAAATACAAATAAAAACAATAGATGTCGGTTATTATATAATGTTTATTGAAAAATCTCCTGATTTTATACAATGTAATTTTATTTTTGATAAATGAACACATAAGACCTCTTCCAAAAAAAAAAACATAGTGTTACTCTTCAAAAAAAAAATATCTAAATCCTGTCTAAATTTCGGGGTAACACGGTAAAATGTGCTCTGCAGTGTATTTGCTTTTGAGTCAACCTAAATAAGTGAGCATGATTATTCCAAATTTAATTTTATTACCAAGAAAATACTTTTTGATCAAGTACATTTTTAGAACTGACACTAATTTATACAAAAACGATGAAAGAATGGTGAATATTTAACAAACTCTCATCAATACACAGCCAACGACAGGAAAGGTATTTGCACATCTGCACCTCATAAATCATGGCGAAGTTCTATTAACTTTTAACCTTCAAGTTGGCATGAATGATTGCTGATCTATAAAGTTGAATTTTCTATTCAAGTGCATTGTGAATGTCAATTAAACGTGACTTTATTTTGCCCGTTGTTTGCTAAAGCAGAATCAATCTTGGCCAAAAGAAATCGATCAAAACCAGGATGCGGCAAAGTTACATAGGAGAATAGAGAACGGAATAAGTTCTCGAATGTTGGCGCCTTTTGCACGAAAGCCTCGAGCACTAATCACTAATGTGCCAATATTACGACTTTCGAAGATATTAACTATTTTTCTTAAGTTTTATACTTATTTTAATTCCGGAACATTGTTCAAATCAGCCATTTGTAAATGAATTTTTGCTCCCCTGAAAAATCAATGATAAGAAAGGACAATGCATTTTTTTTAAAAAATCTGCCAATACATCGACATGAGGAAAGTGGCGGACATAAATTTAAAACAAAATTTTTAAACATTCTTAGTGAGAATTTACGCGCTAACAACTTGGCTATACGACCAAAATAATGTAGAGATGGTCTAATAAAACTCTGAAGATTATCATTAGAATAGTTGCAACAGACTACTTATCTATACATCCTATCGTTAGAGCAAGGCTAGGGAAATAATTCAGAAGAACACACCCTTAAAACATAAATGCTAACCAAAGAAATTTGTTTCGTTGACAAGAAGTGTTTTGCTGCCAATACGGCGAAAAAGTTCTAAAATTTTAGGGAGATCAGATGATCTGCAGACTACACACTAAAGGCGGTGTCCACATTGGTGGCAAATCATTGTGTAACAAAGTAAAAGTGGATTTTCTCTGATCCCAAGACGGATCTTTTCAGACGCGAAAACAAGCAATGAAACGTGGGTTATAATCAATATTTGAGAATATATTCATCATTTCTAAGCAAACTTTTGATATATTCACTTTACCTGTTAAGGGCAACCTATAACATTCGCTTTCAATTTTGGATTATCTATGTCCATGTGCTAAGAAAAAAACAACTTCTATTTAAGTAACTCTCGAACAGAGTACCTTTATACACAGGTTGATGAATCAGTTTGCAAACCAAAGAGTGTCGAAGAGTATGTTTGTGTAACCACTAACTCTATCAATCAAACTCGTCGTGCAAACACAAGTATCCTGCTAGGCGAGACCACAAATGGCGGCAAATCTTATTCATCTAATGTATAATATAGAACAAAATTGGTCAAGTCTTGAATAGCAAGGGGTGCTACTTGAATTATTCATATTCCATTAAAGAATAACAAGAAGCAAATTTCTCCAAATGTGGATATATTATTTCGGGTATATTCTTAGCAGTAGTTTATGTTTTAAATATAATCTAAAGTCTTTAAACACAGATGCACATTCGAATATTATTGCCAACTTGAGTACCAAATTAGAAATTAAAAACAACTTGGATTTTAAGAAATTATATTAGGTAGTATTTTGGACAAATTCTTCCACAAGCCTTCGATTAGGCTAATAGCAAACAAATTACAAAGGAACATTATTGCTATAGCTACTGTCCTTCCGTTGGCGTCTCAGCATAAATACACCGTATTTTGTGAATACAGATAATTACTGCTTACAAAAATGCTTCTTGTTGTGTAATAAAAGCTATGCAATTTACAAAAAAATAAAGTAGCAATAATAGATAGTCTGGTGTAATTCAAAAGTTTGCCCCGAACAATCTTTCCGAGTAGAGAAGAACTACTAACATATAGAAAGCTAAAAGATTTTTGATAGGCTCAAAATCTATTTTATTTGTTCTGTCCCGCTCAATTGTATTAAATCCCTAGTGGTTCTGGATAATATATGTGATGGTACATTTATTATTTACCTATGTTAGAATCCCACAATTCAACCTAAAACGTGTTTTCAAATATTCAATTGTGGCATACATTATCAGATTTCTTATCAAAGTACTACAAAAAGTTGGCGCCTGATAGGAAAACACGACATTTTAGCATAATAGGTCATGTTTTTCACAGAATCGAGAAACGAACTGTTTTTATCTAATAGCGCCTGTTATAATGATGAATTATCACATCATAAAAGTACATTTAATAGGCTTTACTCCGTCACAATTGTGCCTGTTTGTTTTGATTTGAATATGTGTCAAATCAATCAAAACAATGAATGGGGAATAGAATTAGTGAAATGCCCTGCCCAACTGATTTTTGATAAGTTAAAGGAATTATAGTTATTGAGAAGCTATGAATGATGACTAAATTTACCGTACATTTGGTGTAATTTATAAAAAATCTATCGAAAATAAAATTGCATTTTACCAATAAAGAAATATATCTTACTGATCTAGTCTTTATAAAACTCGTTATCAAATAAAAATGTTTTGTGGAATGTATAAAAGAGATAACGAGTTGATCAAACAATCAGTATTGTTGTTTTGTGCCCATGACGGTAGGCATTGTGTCCTGGCTCCTCCATATCTGATGGTTTACTTTGCTGAAACGTATCTTTCGACATGCCCATCCAAACCATGGCGCCAGAGACGCCTCAGATAAAATAGGCGTGACTGATGACCCAATGGTGACCTATTTCTTCAAATGAGTTGTTGAAGCAAAAATATTAAGTTAAGTTGGGCCGCTCAAAACGGGAATCTCCACCCGGTTCCGTATCCCAGCTCACCGGAAATTATAAAAAAAAACGAAACCCGTTTGATAACCGGAACCGGATTCAATAATAATTTTTACTACGACTTTCTCTGTAACAGTTAACTCTCTGCGCGACCAAGTACATACCCTTCTTTGTGTGGTTAACCCATATGCATAAATCACGGCTATCGTCAGGCTAGAAGCATTAAACTCCAACTCTAGACACCGAGACGACCAAATTTGGTAGGTTTGCTAGGTGAAAATCTACACAAACTACAAAATCCAACCTCCTAATGAATCATTGCTACCAAATCCAAGTCAAATTTTAAGAATATAAAAATTATGAATTTTAGATTAGCCAGTTATTTAAGGTTTATTTATACAGTTTTACTTTCTTCCAGTTCAATTTTAATGGTTATACAGTATTAGATATTTTTTAAATCAAATATTGACAAGAGCCCCCATTTTTGCAGGTTAATTGAAATATACACTATTCCTTTCCTGGTAATGCACCGTACCACCCACAGTAGATGCCATTAACACCCAAGAGAAGCAATTCCTCATTTATGTCAGTTATTAGAACAAAAAAAAACATTAAATCACTTTTCATTTTATAGTAATCGCAATCAGAATAATGTAATTTTACAAGATTGATGTATTTGTCATGTAGCAGACTGTTTCGCTGTTAGCGTTCTATGAATAAGGTGTTCGTACAAAAACTTGTTTATGTGTTCTATAATCAATTAAGTGTAATTAGAGTTCTGAATTCACTTCAAAAAGATATTATTTTAACTTGTCTTTGCTCCATTCATTTTCAAAAACATCAATTCATCATCCACCCACTTCCATATCTTGGGGGATTACTTGCTCCTAAAGCTGATATAACCCAGTCTTTACTTGTGAGATTAAAACCAGACCTAAAGATTAACTTTTGCCACCGCCACCCCAAATTTTAAGGAGAGAACTTTGTTGAATTAGATTCTTTAGGCGCTTGGTATACAAGGTATTAGTCTAGTATTACATTTACTGATTTGGCATAATGCGATAGATCAAAAGTATTAACTTTGGGAAATATTATATCAAAAGCTGATAAGAACGAACAATATCAAGGGTTTGTATTTATTTACCAAAATGATTGAAACCACAAACCAATAAGTGCCTTACCGATGAAGTAATACATATACCACTGAAGTATTCGTACATATAAGACCAGCACTTTAGTGTAATAAGAATACATACGCTTAATACTTGTATAAGTTTTTCTTTAAACAAGAAAAATTAAGCTGAAAACGTGATGTTTTTTTATCGTCGAAATACCCTTCGAAACCCTACAGGCATTGGAGACTTATCCGTACACGCTCTCGGAGGCTGTAGCGTAATGCTCGTGTCGAACTAACCCAAAACACTATGCACGAGCGAGCCGTAGTTTATTCATGATCTTACCAAAAAAGTTTCATTTTTATATTATTTTTTCACCTAAATTAATTCAAAAATGTGAAAAAAATTCGAGTTGAAATTTGAATATGAGCTGGCTTCGGTGTCCTAAATTCTTCATTTATTTGGTGATAATACCACGGAAAAGTTTATTTCTTTGCTAATATATGGACCCACATTTTCAGGTATGAGACGCACAATTGTTTGTTTTTTGCCTAATACTTCAAATAAAATTTAGAAAAACAGATTTGCTTAAAAGCAAACTTAAGACCGACTTATTTGTAAAGCCTTCGTTCACCTCTGATATACTCATATACTGATATACAGTATTCATGAATCGAATTGATCATGACAATAATTTTCGTAAATAAAGGAAACTTCCAGTTAGGGTATTCAATAATATTACCATTTAATAAAGGGCGAAAAAAAAACATACGGGGGATGTCGCAAAGTTGGGGAACGAAAGAGATAGTCTAATTTACCCAGGTGTGTTTTGATTCCGGGGCATGCTTTTATGACAGAATTTCGTCCTTGAAAAAACGCGTTCTCTGCCTTATCAAGACCTGTATTAGTCATTATTTATTTGGGATTTGGAGTTTCAAACGTATAGTTTTATTTTTTAGTAGGATAATTTGACCGCATTATTTATATAAATATTAAAAGTGATATCGTATCATGCAACAGGGTTAAGAAAAAAATTATATACTTTTAACACTACCTTTACTTTAATGTTACTTCGTTTTTCGATCAGATTCTTACTACAGCTTCGAAGGGATGGAGTATATTAGGTTTGCAATACTACTTGGCTGTTAAGACTTTTTGTTTTTCACCCCGTGGTACAGCAGTCAATCACTTTTTTTCTGCAGACAAAAAGAGTAATAATTTAGTCAATATTAACATTAATATTAGTTATTAGTATAGTACTACTCATGGACCTATTAAATTAACTATTCTAAAGCCCAAGCATTTATAATACTTGAAAAAGTTCTAAAGATATAATTCATCATCTCATCCAAGAAGATGTGCATTGACCTTGTTGGGCCTCAATCGGTATTACCAATTTTTCATGATGCTATATAATATCACTTTATTTATGTTATCCTTAATCGAGATCCAAGGCATTTTACAAGCCTTATATTGACAAAGTATGACGTTTCAATAGATCTTGGGTTGTAGCCGACTTCAATAGCAGTTCCCAAATAAAATAAGATTTTAATCGCTATATTTGACTGTTTTACTCAAACGTTAAAAGTTCATTTGTCTGGGTTTTGTGTATTTTCACTACGACGATACGATCAGGGTGTGAATACACGGTGATTGCATTGATTCTGCAACAAAACGTGATGATTGTTATCAGTTTAAAACATATTTGAATTTGACTTCAGCGGGGGATCAAGGAACATTAAACACACACTTGAAATTATTACTGATGTCAGTGAATTCATTGTGAATATTATGGCAATTCAATGATAAAAAAAGAAAGGAAATTTTACTGCGATGGAATGCAATGTAAGGGTTTGATTAATATAAACTTACTCAACACAAATTGGCATACATTTCCATAGAGTTAATGGAACCATTATAGATAATTATGGGGATAACAATAGAGGAAGGCATGATAATATACTAGACTATAACCTTCTTGTACCGTTTACTAACCACCAGCTTGACAAAACAATAACGGCGAAATTAAACCCACGTGGGGCGCTATTTTTCAACATGGGCAAATTTTTGGATTGAAATGACGTGTCGCCATATGAATACGGATAAATATAATGTTCTTCTTATAGAGAGTTCTGTATTTGTCCACTAAAAATTCCTGATACAGAATTCACAACAACAACGTGAACATCGCAAGCTGTTGGAGTTGCAAATTTAGTAGATATTAAAGAATTTGATAAAAATAAATCATACTTCTAAAAGTAAATTGTCTAATATCATTAAAAATATTTACTTCACCAAATTATATCACAAAAGAGCAACGTTGAACAAAGCTCAGTGTTATGTGTAGAATTTAATAAACGACTTGTCTTACTTACTAATCTTATAGAACCGAAGAACTAATATATTGCAAAAACAAAATCTGGATTTTTATTTTGAAAGTATATCTTTAAAATTTTACAAAATGGAGTATATTGACAATAGCGGCAAAATAAATTAACGCGAAAAAGTGTTTTGGAAGAGAGAGAGTTCAGACGAAATTTTCACACTTGAGTACATTAATCGATGCATCTTAATTGGCTTCATTTTTTCTGTTGTTTTTTCAACATTATCTGTGAAAGCATTGCTCTGTTGCGTGCTCCAATGAATTTCCGCCACCTGGGGATAATTGAGACAAATAGGTTGCACATTTTAGCGCCAAAATTAACATTTTTTTGGATGTTATAACATACATGGTTAAAGTGAAAAAGCACAATACATACTTGTACCATGGTTGATATTATAGGAAAATTTTCATCGCTTCATGCCGTAAAATTTTGCCTTTAAATGAAAAGACTGTTTGTTGTGTTCTAAAAAATGTTGACTAAATAGAAAGATCTGACTGATTAGGTCAGTTCACACTGCTTTCTAATATGGTTTGAAAGCAAACTTGGTGAAATAATAATTAATCTTCGGTAAAAATGAAAAATTGCCAAAGACTGACGCCTTGAAAATTATCAGACAAATTTTGCTTTTCAACCCATGGATCTTAAGAAAGCTCTATGCAAATTGAATATTCAGTATGGATATATATAATTAGGAATGAAGAGTTCGTATGAATAATTTCATTTGTTGATGACATATTTTGTTTTAAATGGCAGCCATTTTTATATTCTTTCACTCACGTTTTGACCAAGCATTTACGGAATTTGTTATTAAAATAATAAATTAATATTGAGTTTTTACTTCATGTACAACAGAACAGTTCCATGTTTTTTGCATTATATTTTTAAGTGACAGTTTTCTAAATTTCAACACGAAAAGCTATTTTGCAAAGTGGTTCATATATTTATACTGATGAAAAAATAAATAAATATTGTTATTCCAAGCAGTGACTGACAATTTTTATGCAGAAAATTTATGCCGATTTTACCTTAGGTACAGAATTAAAAAAAATAAAAAAAACTATACAAAAAATGGAAACAAATCCATTTTCTGATATTCATCACATCCTCATTTCAAATTTACTTTTTCTGAAAATTATATTTTTAAAACCTTATCTCAAATGATATCATACATGATGATCTACCTCAAAAAGTTTTGTTTCTTAATCATATCTTTTAATTAATAGACGGTTTTCACTCACTGACCACATTAGTGTTGCTAATTGTCGATAATTAGTAAAAGTAATTTATCGCACCATTAATGTTCTTTGATGTATAGCGATAGCTTTTCTCTCCAGATATTTTTCTTTCAGTCGAGAAAAATGGTAGTGAAAAAATTAAAGAAATGGTCGAAATGCCACGGCAATTGATATCGTTATTTTGTTTCGTTTTCTAAATTTGCCAATATATTGAACGCCATGGTGCTTTCACAAACGGCAATGAGTAAACGATAAAATTCTAGCATGGCTAAAGATTATTTTTTATCTTTTATCTTCAGTTTGTTTCTAGCAAGTTTCGCGTATTAAAATGGATCAAATCAAATAAACTCTTTGTGTTATCTGACTTGATTCCTTTTTTAAATACTTCATATTTTTCTATAGCCCTTATGTAACCAACTTATAAAAATGAAATTTTCCGACAAGTTGTCATGGGTTTAATTATGTATTTATACCTACATTCCCTTGTAATTTTTCCTTCCACTTAGTAGTCTGGTTGCTTCCTTTTGTTTTCGTTCCTGAATTTGACTTTGCTGAATGATCTGTAATATTAACAGAAGATATATTATAATAAGTTCACCAAAATACCCGGAAAAATCTATTAAAATATAATATATAGTCTATTAATGTTGGTCAAATAACGAAATATCAATAATTATCTTATTTATCATAACCCTGAGGCATCAATCAGCTGATGGGATAAAATTAGGGAAAGTAATAGAGGTTATATGCTTGAAATTGTTGTATTCTTCCAAGCCCTATTGGAACACTGTGGTTTTTCAACCTCATGGATACCACACATATAAGTGATGATAAAGAGAATAATATTGCTGATTTGCTATCTAGTAAAATGTCTATACATAAAAATCTGAGGTTTTGTGGTCTTCTAAGCTCACATTTGGTCATTCTGCATGTATAGAATTTTTTTTATATCATAAGTAAATTTATTAGTGTAATTGAACAACTTGAAACTGTTCATGATTACTGAACCCCTTCGTATGTAAAGTTTATACAAATTCATGAGGTTTTTAAATAAGGTGCAGCAACCTTAGCCAAACCCCTGTTATTTGCATGATAAATGTTGTTTTGCGATTAGTATACATCAATGTAGAATATAATAAACAGAACTCTGCAGTTCGTTGTTGTATAAATAGATGAGTTGTTTAAAAATTAACCACAAATATCCTTTTAAGCCAAGTTCAGACCGTTATTGTCACGTCAACATGTTTATGGAATGAGGGTCTTAAATGAGACATGTCTATATGAAAATTTTTTTTTTTTTGTTTCCACAAGTTCAATTTGACAAATTGTTCAATCCATTTGTTGTTTTTCGTACTCTAATCTAAAATAAATGCTGTTTGATATTTTGTTGCTAGTTATATGTTGTTGCCCATTCGCATTTCAATTACATATTGGAAATTTGATACAGAACACTGATAATGTTTAAGACAGCATAGTCCCGATTCGTTGAATCTTGGTTATAATGAAGATATTGAACTTTAAGATTAAACTTTAAGATATCAGATTTAAACGACGCTATTCATTTCAACAATTATTCAATTGGTTTGGGATAGAAAATCAAAATATTAAAAGAATTTTAAACGTTCAACCTGAAAATTAGTTAGAATTCAGACTTGTTTTTCTATTCCAATACCGGTATTTGTTTCATACCAAATAAACATTTGTAATACTTTTCAATCCGACCTATTATATTTTAACCATATTTTATATCCCTCTTGCAAAATGTTTTTATAGCACATTGATAAAATAACACATTAATCAGCTTTGTGATGACATCATCAAATTTTTGTATCACGTCACCGTGTACAAGTGATAAGACCACTTCTTTATTTTACAAAATGTTGTTGTAACTCTGACAGGTTACGTTGACAAATATGTCTGATAACTGGTGATTCAGCCACTTGTCTGTGACGATATGTGGGTGACCGACTTTTACCGGTTGGTTACTTTTAATCAGTGTTCACTTTGACATATTTTGAGCAAATACTACTAAAGTAAGATTAGTGTTGTCAATACTTCAGAAGTGTATTGGGCACTTTGTAATTTTGATACTTCTTGGTACACACTCCTGAAGAATAAAATTTCAGATGGCTCTATTTTCTATCAGCTTTCAGTAAACATGATAGTTGCTTATCCCGAACATGTTTTATTCGTTTATATTTGCGTTAAGAACTCTAAAATTTCATTTCGATTTAACCCACGAACTCCATGAAAAAGTAAAAAATCACAATATAATGTTAAAAGAAAAAAATGAAACGCGATATAGCTGCGATTTGTTATATCAGACATTTAGCATGGTTATGATCGTTTTTGTGTACAAAACAATCTCGTATTGATTAAATGCGAATATATTATAGAACTTATTCCCAGAATCATTTTCAAATAAAAGATGATAATTTAGCATTCCTGGTAGCACGTATATGCTTGGATGAGCTTCCACAAAAAGAGTTCAATTTATCCTTCCTTTATCGTATTATGTTCTTTCAAACTAAAGTGAGCCCTGGAGCTGATAGTTAGAAATTTACTTGTTGTTGAGATGCTACAGTGGATCGTTGTTGAGAGTTTACGAAACACGAGAAGTCCACTTAAAAGGGAGGTTTAATTGCTCTCGTAAACTGTGAAAAAATAGATAGATTTTGCTATTTCCTAAAGTCACTGCTAAGCTTCATTGGTAAAAATTCGTATTCAAATAAAGACAAGGATAGATAGACGATAACTTGTGCCTAAAGACCATTCCAACAGTTACTCATTTATGATTGAGTACACAGTTTGTGGTATACTGAAGTTAATCAAAGTTGCCTAAATTCAAGTTAAATTTCTGCGTTTTTATCTGGGCGGAAAAAAATGCGGGAAAGCCGATCAAAAGATAAACACATACGAGTGAATATCTATGAAGCGTGAAGTGGTGAAGAATTTGTTTAACTGAATGAATCATTGCTCCCACATAGGTTACGAGTTTAGGAGAAATTCACTGCAAGCTACATTCTATTCAATTTTTCCATATTTAGTCCTGGTTGGCTAAAATGTCAGCTATTGTTTTAATAACATTTTTAATGTTCATTTTACCAATGTTAATCTAAAGAACACAATGTTTTTATGGGGCACAATATAATTCGATAACCGATTAACTTGAAGGAATGGTTTTTCATATACTTGTATGTCACTTTTCACCACTATTTCTGTCTAAATTAAGTATTTCTCAATATGGTATTGTGTGAGATAGGAAGGGATGTATTGTAGCCTCACAACAACATAAAGGTTTTGCTCCTTTTCCACTTCATATATGCATATATTTTGCATTTCTACAATATGATTTCGACATTTCAAAACGAAATTTACGTCAGCAAACATGAAACGACAGATGGGTGAACGGGAAAGTTGAAATCTCAACATGTTTGACATACCTTCATTGTTGTTTGACATCGCACCAACGTCACGCTTGAATGCAGGAAGCTTGTTGTGGTTCATGTCGACCATCTGGCATATTTTCAATTGCGACTCCTGGAATAATAAATATTGAACATTAAAATGGCATAGGTTACAATACTTGTTAAACTGTCATGTGTAAGATTCTTTCCGGTTCCTAACATTAATCATAGCTCATTAACTTGGCTCGGCTTAATTCTATCGACCAATGGAAGTAAAAAAAATATATCAGTTGGATTGTTCGATTGTAAACGTAAATCCAGTGTACAGATCTTATAATAGGCTTACAAAATCATTGTTTAGTTTTGTGGAAGATCTCTTGCCCTAGTTATAAAGCCTTTGTGATATTTCAGAAAAATATCAAGTGCCTGATTAGGTCCTGAGTTTAGATCAGGGCCTTCATAAAATGCCATAACTTCTGGAAGTCTCACATATACACTCCCACCGTAGAATATAATTAAAGCATTCCAACTTTCTGCTTTCACTATATAAATTTTGGTTTCTGACTTGGGACCTAATAGATTGACCAACAACTCATATTTCCGGAATCAATTAAAATGAAAAAATGCTCTTCTCCAAATAAAGCAATTGCTTGACTAACAGTGATACAATATGTTTTCATGTCATTATAACCATATCAAATTACTCAGGCAATGTTCAAATTCATTAAATATTTCAATCAATGAAGTTTGATTTGAATTTGGTCAGTTTAATTGAATAACGTTGATTGATTGGTGGACAGAATGACGAAAACTTTATGACATAATAAAGCTCTTTATCAAATTACAAAAGCGCGAGAAATGAAATTTATAGATATTCAATACACGGATTATATGTCACTAAACCTATTTGATTAAAAGAATCTGTTTTCTCAATAACAGGTTACTTTAATTACATTAAACTTATATTAAATTCAAAATCTAGTTAAAATAAGACATTCTTTGTAGTTTATTTTTCAACAATCTATTTGCATCGGTCAGTCTGATTGACCTTTGAATTTTAATGAGGCATAGAGTTGGAATGTGAAGCTTGATTTCAAGTGACCTTTTATATATATGGTCATATTGCCAATAGAAAAATAGCCTAACAAAAATGAATTATTGCTCGTTCAGTAGCTCATTAATATGCTCTATATTTTATACTTCATATTTGCTATATCTGATGACTCATATTGCGACTGATAAAATATTGTTTATGCAGTTTGTAACTCATAATATTCTCTTTATGTTATATTTGTTTGCTTTTTCTATGTACCATTGATATAACATACAACCAATTATCATACATTTTAGTAATAATATTGTATGCTTTTATAGAAGAAAGATTATGCAATATTATTCCTTGCCAAATTTTGTTGGTGTTTTCCCTCCATCTCGCCGTGCCACTTATTGCAAATTACTTTGGCTCTATTGATGCGTAAAACCATAAACCATATTTTATCATCAATTAATAATCAATTCCAAAATTGTTAGAATCATAATTGATTTGTGGATAAAGCTGAAAATTAAAAGATAAGCGCAAGATTAAATTCCCAATCAAAAAAAGAATCCCGGAATTTACGGAGTATTTAGTTATATTTAGACAGCATTATAGGTGCTGAAATAAGGATTCATTTTTAAGCATATTTTAATCTGTTAAATCAAAAGGAAATGAATTCCATCGACTTATTGAACTGGGATGAGATGAGTCTGAACGAAGTCTTATTTAGAAATTGATTTGATAGCGATGTAATCTGGTACGTTTAGTGAAAAACAGACGTTAAGCAAGTTGATTTATATCAAATTAAATATCTCTGAAAAACAAGAAATATTCGAGTGTACCGAATATGACTACATTTAGGACCTTTACTCACAGCGCAGAAACAGTATTCTATAGCTTTCCAAACAGCCCTTCGCATTACTTACGAATCGCATGATGTCAATTACTGTATATTACGTAACATTTCGTATATACATAGAGTATAAAGCCTGATAGGAAAATAGAGTTTCTTCATTTGACAAGTTTTATACTTTGAGACAACTGCACAAAATTAAATATACACTCCCTCCCTACTTCCTAACAATGTTATTGACTGATATGAATAAAAACCCATTTTGATATATCTTCAGACTACTGCGTATAATACTACAAACTTTTTTTTGCATAGATTTGGTTTAAGCGACAAAATTGAGATTGAATTGGTAAATGGGAGATAAAACCTTTACTTTATTTACTGAATACTTTATATTAAAATATGCAAAGTACTCATTCAATGGTAGGAAAATGGGAATCTAGAAACCAGTGAAATTTCGATGAATAAAAAAAATATCAAATTAGATAAGGCCAAGCTCAGTTAACTCCAATAAAGTTGGGTTTACTTCTAAATTTTCAATTAACCTCAAAGTTAGGAGATTCCGTGTCACGACACGCATGACAGAATTAGTAATGGTATGATTATGTCTCGGTAACGTGATAGTAACATCAGTAATAACATCAATAAATATGACAGGAAACATCGAACGCACGCTTACACCCTGTATTTAAATTTTCACACGCTTGCTAACAAAACGTAAAATTGGCTCAGCTCCAGAAGTTTCTGGAAATCACGCGCGACCGGGATTTAGGTTTAAGTTACTAAGACTTTACCAAGGATCGAAAAAGTCTTTAAAAAGGATTAACTTTCTTTTCAGGGTCGGTTGCTTCTGAGTGTTTGTCCTAGTTTGTTTGTCTTTAGCTTACGTGTAAGTTAATCTATCTTTAATCCTAATCCGAGTAAAGTTAAACCTAAGGAATTCAAAGAAATAACGATAAAATGAAGCGAATTCACTGATTTGTCAGGAAACGCATCGCTTTTTATGGACGGTTGTATATAAATAGAAGTGTGTGACTTCGAGTCCGTATTTATGCGTAATATTTGACATGAAACATTTATTACCGCTGAATTTTTTGAAATTTGGAATTTTTCAGATTCAAAAATTGTGTGAAGCAAATAATTGGCTTTTTATATCGTTTACAGAGTCTGTATTTGTGTGTAATATTTGACGTAACATCTTCATTACTGTGTCCCTCGATAAATGACAATTAATAGTTATATTGTTAAGATGTCGACTGATTAGAGTAATAGAAAAATATTAAAATTTGTTTATTTCTTAGATTTAAAAAGTGTGTGAAGAAACAATTGTTTTCAAAACAAAACGTAAAATACGATTTTATTTCATTTCACTGTTATTGTGGACTAAATTATATGCTAGTTTATTTCTTTATCTTGGTGAACTTTCATATTCACCGCAGAAAATAAAAACATTGAAAATATTTTGTTAGGTGCTGGTAAGATATCTGCACTCAAAACAATAGTTTTACATAGCCAACTTTTTATGAAAATATGAGCCTGATTTTTGTGAATCAAATTTGAGTCAAGTTTTTTATATGGAACTGTTTATGTAATAAAGTTTATGGATTACAAACTTGATGAATTTAAGTTTCAAAAGTATGTGGATGTTCAAAATCCTATGGATTTATTAAAAAAAAATTTTGTCCCTATCCCTAAATATGGTCGGCAAATATCAGTGGACTTAACATCATTTGTAGAGGCGACAAAATAAAACGATAGTTTTGTGTTACCTGCCCTTATCATCAAAATCCACTCTATTTGAAGTCCAGGCCTGAATGGTGTCTTTTAGATGGAACCATATATTCAACTCTATTTCTGCACCTATTTTATAAAAGACAGCTAAATAGTTTTAGAAACGTAAAGACATTGAAACGTAGGATTTTGACCATTTACCGGTCTTTTATTCCTGCCAAAACGGAGAGTCATAAAATTTATTTACTAAATATGACTTTTTGCAATTCCCAACCAAATTGTTAAGAAATATTTCAAAGGGGTCACGCTGAAATTATTCTATGTTTTTTCAAAATTTCATGCAACAAGGCTCCGCGTGATGAAAGCTATTATTTATACAACGGATAAATGCGTTTCGATGCAGTAATTACTTTTCACATTTAGAAAGTCAAGAACAATTAACCTGTTCAAACGGTTCAGTAACGTCGTTTGTTTAGTGAGAAAACAGCCCCTTTAAGGAAAAGGCGTAAAATTACTATTTTGTAAAATAATTCAAGAGTTTGTACACACGGTCGTACTTTTTTATACGATAAGGCTCAAGCCCGTCTCCCATTCATTATATATAAAAAGTTATAGAAGAGCTTACTCTTGTGACAAAAATATTCAGTACATGGTCGTTGTCACAAGGCTCGGAACAATTCAAGTCAAAACTGTCAGGAAAGAACTCGAGGAAACAACCATCAACAAGAAAAATCCATTACGTCATCATTGAAATATCTTCTATCGCACAGTTACTAATTCAATTTCTTCATTAAAACTTGAATTCAATTTTGATAAATATTCATATTTACTCATGATAAAGATTTGTTCTTTCTGAAACTTGAGGTTCTGTTATCAATTTATTTTTCATTTTAAGTGAAATTCAAGCATTTAGATTTTCTAACAACGGTAAATTCATTACAAATATTTAATAGTTTTTGTTGTAAGAGTGAAGTGAGGGAAAGAGCAAATATCAGCAAGAATTTTAATTAGAATATAAGGTGACTTTTATTTGAACAAGAATAAAACAAATGGCAAGTATTGCAGACTTTGTAATGTACTTGTATTTTTTGTTTTATTTATAAATAATTCACGCTTTTGTTTCAAAAATTAGGTTGCGCCAATGCGCCAGGAACTTCAAAGTTCCCTGTATAGCTCAATCAATCTCTGAAAATTTTCAAAATTACTATACAGAAAAATGCTTTTTTTATTTTTTATTTTAGAAGTCCCCTGGTGACTTGGACTGGACTGTTGAGACCAGAGATGGAATTCAAACTACAACCCATTGGTCATCGATTTTCCAACCGCGCACAATTACATTACAATTTGTTTTTAGATTCAACAGTTTCAACCAATTATTATACACAACTCATTGCAACTGAATTGGTGTCAAATGAAGCTGTCAAGTTAATGAGACGGCAAGGGGTCAACAATGCCAGTGTTATGGTAACTTTGATTCTGTTACTTTATGAAGATCAAGGATTGGTCAATAATATGGCTCTATTTTGCATCACAAAATTCAAGTAATATTACTTATGAACACTTAAAAAACTTCTTAATCTTTCATACTGGGTTTTGTAAAAATAGTAGAGAAAATAGTATTCCAGCAAATTTTCGCTGGAATAATTATATCATTCCGACTCGTCTTTGATCAATAAATTGTATATTAAATAATTTGTATAACTCCTAAATTTTAGTTAATCATATGCTTATTTATCAAAATGATAGATTTGTATTTTACCACATTAAATGTCACCAGCGACCTAATGTGACAAAATCTAGTTTTGTGAGAAAACGCTCGTTGTTTTTTTAGTCCGAGACTGTAGGATGAACTCACAAGAGTGAGGGTGTGACATCATTAGCAATGTTTTGATCGACGGAAGAACGAGCTATATCAACAATGATAAATTATTTGGATGTTATTAGCATAACTGTGGATCTACAATCTCCTTATTCTATAAAGCTTTGCTTCAAAACAATCACAAAACCACTAAAGACCAAAACGATTAACCCTATAACCATAGTTCAACGATTTATTCTTGCACCTGCCTTTCAACAACCATTCTTGTCACTATACCATACTGAATTCATCGTATTGGAAAAGATATATTGGACAATATGTCAAAGGCCGACTATTTTTAATTCATGGACAGTTAATTTGGTTGACAGGGCGTGAGTGCATCTTCCGACTCTCGTTTCCCCTTTCCTTATATCGTCAATAAGGCGATGAATTTGTATAGAATTAATAATCGTAGGTCGTTCATATTGTTTTTCAAGAAATTTTTAGTTTGACACGTGGCGATACGTGCATGCTTTTCATTGTAACTAGTGATTCAAAATTTCAAGAACAAGTTTCTTTTGTATCGAACCCACTAAAAACAGGTTTTTATAAAAGATATTTATGACACAGCAAAATCTGCATTAACATGACACGCTTTGCATACATCTTATCATAACCTTTGAAAGGCCAAATATAACACTGGCTGTGCACGTGAGTTGTTTCCACGCGGAGACCCAGGGCTCCGTGAGATAAACTTCAGGGCTCCCCGAGCTAATCGTTTATTCGTTTACCAATGCGGTAATTCAAATACAGTAATATTACCTAAAAGGTCCAATGGATATTGCAATATTTCAATTACTGCTTGTTTTCACATTTCGACACTACATTATCAATATGTTTGTCAATTGTCGAATTTGCGGTGCTTCGTAAATAATAGTTGACCTCTTCAAAAGTTTGAGAACCTCTGGTTTAACATTCAGAACAAAAACTACAGACGATAACCTCCTGAATCCTACCACTCATTGAATTGTACATTTAGACCGGATAACGTATAGTGTTTAGCACGGTTTACCTGACTATTTTGTTTTTTACAGGGTAAAAGAGTGGCAACAAAATAGCTCTATAATAGTCTTTATGGCATTGTCTCTAATAAGGTTCAGGCAAGCATTCATTGCACTCCTTTTTAGAATTTGTGGATGAAATGTCCGTGAGTTAAAATTTACATTCTGCGCTGGTGAAAATTTTAAATTGAAAGTTTGTGAACGTGCGGATCACGGCCTGAATATTCAAAATATTTTGTTCGTGTACATCCTATCGCAATAAAAATATATTTCAATACAAATAGTATGATTTTATAGTTATGTAGTTTAAAACCGTTACATATTTCCTTGAGTTGATTTTGTAAAAAAAGTATGTTGTATCAAACTGATTGGCTAACAAAGGAAATTAGGTTTGAAAAATCGTTCATCGCACAGTAGCCCTACTGTTTTCTGAGGAGCAGTGAAGCATGCCGGTTGTGTAAACATTCTTCCGTTGAATTATTCTTTGGTTGAAGCGGTTGTTTTGAGATAGCGTGAACGCGAACATTCTTTAGTAGGATTAATGAGCTGTTAGATTAGCGGAAAAAGGATTAGTGCAGCCACAAGCTTGTGTAAGTTCAAAGTACTTTGTTGAGGGTTAAGCATTGTTTATGGTTGAAACTTATTGTTGACTAGGTGAGAAACTTTAACAAAGGAGGGTCGCCCAACCGGAATGAGGGCTTAATTTCTTTACCCAATTATATTCAAAAAGAATTTGTGGTTCTTTTTCCTGCAGCTCGCTCACCTTATAATCTAATCCTAAATCGCAATACTGGCTTCTGTTATCAAGTAACCATGCCAAAGAAAACAAACGCGAATTATGCCAGGGATAGGTAAAGACAGACATAAAGCAGACTTGAATTGCAAATCAGGCACGAATTCAATGACTGGTCATGACTGCAAATACAGAATTTTTTTTCATAATTTTCTCTCCGTTATTCGAATCATCAAATTCGTTCAGTAGTATGAAAAATTGATAGGTTTTAAAAACTACTTGAAGAGCATATCGCATAAGATGGTAAGCAATATTTGAAAAAATTTAGTCATTTGAGCTCTACCTTGTTTAAAATATATATATATATATTGAAGTCAGGGGTCTGGTTTACGGTTTAGTTTCTCTCCAACTTTAAAAGACAAGCAATGAAGAAGTTGGCTTAAAAACGACAATGGCTCTTATTTTGGATACATAGTTTCTGAGAATGACTTGATATATGTTATATATGATTTCTGAATGGTGTGTTTCAATATTGTTTCAACATTATATATTTTACTAGACTGGTTTTTGAAGCAATATTTTATGGAACCAAGTTTGTACTGTTTGCAGTTTTTTGTTTACTTTTCGAAAGGCATGTGAAATATTGCTAAATATCTCTCATCACTTTTAATAATATTGATATACCTTTGCTAAAAGTGCACTGATAGACATACCCAGTATCGTCCTATAGTCATGCACGGGATTTCATTATATGACAAACTCGATAGCATATGTAGTGGGTGGCTCACTCATACGGGCGTGACCCATATTCACCTCTGTTTGCATTAGCTTAACCTTTAGCGACTAAGTAGCGAAAAGGTGACACGGGGGATAAGACAGTAAAATGAATACTTTAAGTAGGTATATTCATCAGTTTGTTGTGATTAGTCGTCTTAGTAAATTGCTGATAAGTCGCATGTTCAGTAGTAATCAATCAAAAATTACAGGTATGACCATATAGTGGATTATAGGTTACACCGCCCGAAAATGTCGACTAACTATTAAATTGGTCAATAACTTAAAACGTAGGAAGTGAGTAGAAAACGTTTCCAATACGTTGATTGCTTGCTGTTATTCATAGTTATCTAGTTAACTTTCGTGTCACGATGTTGGGTTTTATGTGGTTCCCATACAGGGTGTCTATAAAGTCCCTTTACAATTTCAATTTTGTTATGAAGTCAGTTCTCTTGATATATCTTAAACCAGGGTTATTGTTTTTTATTCAGTGATTGTCTAAGTATTTTTACTTCATTTAATACATTTTTGAGGGCCAAAACAATATAAGGTATCGATAAATTTCCTTTCACCCTATGATTTTCATTGGGTACTATTTCTCAGTGTTAGTTCTGGTGGGATTAAAAATTCACGATTGCACCGATAAAATATATAAGTACTTGATATAGAGTTCAAAAATCAAGGTAAAAACTTTGCTTGCTAGTAAGTTATTCTGTTTGTAAAATCGAAATGAATGCTTTACATAGTGGCTCAGGATTCGGTACTTTCGTAGTGTGTGTACCAGGGTAGGGTTAGGGCATACTTTCATTCCGATTTTCCGTATTTTAGTTCTGTTACAAGTTCGAGACAGTCAGTGTTAATCAACGTCAGTCTCTTTACACAACTTGATGTAAAGTAGGCGAACAAAGTTTAGTTATCTTAATATTGGTACACACTTCTGGAGCACCCGGGATTCTCGTATCACGCTTTTACCGATAACCACATAACATCCACCCAACACCGCCAATCAACCAATTAAAAATTCGACAATCATTCAAACCTCGCTCACTTCAATTGTAGGCTGTTGTTGATTTTTATCTTCAGTTGACTTCAGTACTTGAATCTTCCATTCGATCGTTTCCTTTGAAATGACAGTTAAATCATGTTAAAACGGAATAATTAGCAGACGTGCTGCAAACTTCTAGAGAATTTTAACATTGGGAATGGAACGTTCAATTTTAATTTAGAGTAAGAGTTATAGGCTTTTACATATTCTGAATGAACTCTAGTTAGCAAATGGGCATGTTTTCTGATTAATGATCAAAAATACTTGACCTTAAAACTCAAAAATGTTAGTGCCAATTTGTTCAGTCTATAGCTGACCATCTTCTTATTATCAAATTCTTTTCTCAAAACAAAAGATGGTCTTGACCAAATTAGAGGCGCCTTTAATCATCTCTAACCGACCAAAACCAATATAATTAAATTACTGGCGCCATTGAACCTTAATTAGACATAAACTGACCACTCGCTAAATTGTTCTCCTCCTTTATTTGATTATTGAAAAATTTACTCAATTTAAAATTAAAAAAAAAACGTGGTATAGCAGCGCTAAAAACAAGGGGGCATTTAACAAACACCATAACTACGTCAAATGTGAGGCCGTCTCGTTTTACATTTAATTCCAATTTGTGACCTGTTAGCACAGAAATTCGTTTTACAGTTTGAAGTTAATGTGGCAATTATCTATAGGCGGAAATTCAAGTGGCCCGCACGTTTCTATTAATGTGCATATTCGGCCAAGTGATACACAAAGTTTGCAGACCACTGGTGTTGGAAAACAAAGGCCATTCCTTTACCACACTTTTACTGTGTGTTTTCTCCTATTTGTAGTATATAATTACCTATTTGAGTGCCCCTATCCCGTGACACTAATCAACTTTGAAAAATGACCACTGGTCAATTTAGACGATCTTTTAGGTGGTCAGTAATAAATCACACCTTGGTAGTTGCTGAAAAACACTTACTAGGTAGATAAATAGTAAAGTTCTAACCACTGTGATGTCACTATTCCCTAAATCCCCCAAATCTTCAAACAAATTTGAGTGAAAATTAGTAGAACCACCAATTAATCAAACAATTAATGGATTTTGAGCTCAGTCAAATTGCGCAAACTCATCTTCACTTAATTAAACGATCGTCGGAAATTCACAAAACAATACGTCGTAGTTTAAGTCGTTTGTCAATAAAATTAATTAGTTGTGAATAAGAATAATTTCCTCGTTGTCAAAAATCATAGTTGTTTTGATAATAAACAGTACTATTTTTCGCGTATGAATGTATTCTACATTATCTATTACTACAAACATATGTAATATCCGATTCATTGTGTAGAACTTTCTTGGACTCCTGAAATTTATTGTTGGATTTGATCTCAGAATAAACAGTATAATCTGCAGTGCGATTAACATAGCAGTTATAGTAAAAATCTGGATTATTTCATAAAATTCGTTCCAGGAAAAAGCATTAATCTATTAAAAGTTTATTCTTGCAGGCATGGGTGACAGTATTTTTATATTTATGAGCATTTATCTTTGATTTATTGTCCAATTACTAACTTCGTAAGACATTAAATTTTGTCTTTTCAATCCCCTTTTTTGGCCGAGTCGGAACATATTTGTCGATAATTTCTCCAAGAGTATTCGATTTCATATAATTGGTAGAAAAGTCATGAAATGCATGAATCATCATGTTTGTTTTATTAATTTTCGCATTTAATTTTCTTTGTTTTGCAATCAATCTTTTGGGATGGTGAAAGCATAATTACTGACACAATTTATTTAAAATTTTCGACTTGTCGAATGTTATGATTTGGGTCATGCATGTAAATAGTGCAAGTTTGTACACAATGTCATTATAAACAACTCGTCATGTGTGTAGTGTTACTTGAATTTTATCCGCCTTATCGGCTTAGATTCGAAAGTATTCAAAAATGTGAAACCAATAACGTATTTGTAACTGTGTGTGCTCAGTATCAGTGACTTTTCAAGCAATGTAAGAAGGTAAATTGAAAATTATATACCCCAAATGTTTATTTGGTCCTCAACCTCCTTATAAGTTTCTTAGTTAGAAAAAAAATTGTTATCATGTTTTGCTCGAAGGAACACTACCTTCAAAGTTGCAATCACCTGAACGCATTCGCATGTCCCCTAATTTTTACAAGATTTTACGTTAAAATGCCAAAGTTAGGTAAACTCATTTTATAAGTCATTATCATCTTAATCTTGATTTTGAGTAAATATGTGTTCAGCTTTGATCAAAATATTTACATATTTTGCCTGTTTTTCAATTGGCTGATTTACGGTCAATACTACAAAGACCTGAATCAATGAATGCCTGAAAATATTGTGATTGAGACAACCTCCAGGTTCAAAAGTCGTGCTCACCTGAATGTACGAACGACTCGGTCGCTTTTAGTGGTGAACACTGTTGATTTGCTTCACTCGATGGTGGTCTTTCAAGCCTGTAATACAAAACAAACTGATTTATTACGGTAATTCATAAAGATCTTATCTCATTTATGAAATTGACATCAAGTAGAAAACAGAAGGAAGTACAGAACATTTTTCAATGTCAGACAGAGTCTGGTATAGGGAAAAAGTCATTTTTTATCATATTAGACTGAGTAATTTATGGTTCATTTAAAATTTCATCAGTTTGACATCAAATCAATCACGCAGACAAAGGCGGAAAACTCGCTTATTAGGGCAACTGATTGCTCAAAATGTTCTGAAATGGATATTGAGACATTATTCGACAAAATGTGAAAATCTTCCATTTGAATTTGTTATTTAAAATGGTTTGCAATATTTATTGGAACCTATGAAGTTCCGGATTTCCTAAAAACGCAATATAAGTGGCCGCCTACACACGAGTCCTTTTTTATACAGAAAACCGAAATAGCTTCATGTAATCATGGTAAACTTCATCAATCTTCTGCAGTGACTTGGAATGAATTGCAGAAAGAATTTATTCCAGATTTGATGGAAATTGTCAAGCAGAATATTGGATTATGTATTCAATTACACGAGCTGCCGCCTACAAACGAGTCCTTTTTTTATACAGAAAGCCGAAATAGCTTCATGTAATCATGGTAAACTTCCTCAATCTTCTGCAGTGACTTGGAATAAATTGCAGAAAGAATTTATTCCATATTTGATGGAAATTGTCAGGCAGAATAATGGATTATGTATTCAATTACACGAAATTGTTTTGCTGTTTTTCAACCAGGGTGGCTGAAACGAGATGTTTTCAGAAAGGATGTGAGTTAGGTCATTGACCTGTTTCTCTACTTTTCAACTTTTGGGTAAGTTAAGTGCACTGGAATTTTCGGCGCTCCAGAAGTGAGTGTACCAATATGGAGGTAACTAATTTTGTTCGCCTACTTTACATCAAGCTGTGTAAAGGGACTGATTACTATGGGCAGGGGGTGTATTCACTTGGCTAACACAGAAAGTCCTCGAACTCATAATAGAACTAGAATCGGAATAATATTTCGGCCTAACACTGTCCTGGTACACATACTACAGGAATACCAAATTTTTTTGCATTTCCGAATTTTCCGTGAACAAATATGTGCTTTATGAACTGAATCGAATTGCATTGACGCCTGTAAAGTTAAACTTTTTTTAGGTGGAATTTCAGAATTATAACTTCATTGAGTTGGACTTACATATAAATGGTAATCCAAAACTTTTTCAAAAAATTGTGTAAAATATTACTTTAGGGTAAAAAGTGAATCTACGTGTTAAATTTCGCCAAATACACATGCCATGAGGTTTTGTCGGTGATGAATTCCTAACTTTCTCCATAAAACACCATTTTAGTGGGTCAGTATTTGCAAATGTTTTCAGAAATTCCGCAATATATACTAGACACGTAGAGCGTGCATGTAAATTGCTTTAACTCTTTAAGCTGATTAGCATACCCCAGGGGTTAAAGAGTTCACATGCCCAGATATGCATAGTACATGTAAATTCTCTTTTTATTTTGTTAATCATTAGCAGTTACTATCGCCCACTTGAAAAGTCCTTCTCTGTGTTACGGATCAACACAAGTGCCTCGTTAAATTTTGTACACCTTACCCATCTATAGCAGATCATAAGCTTCATCTATAACAGTAAAAGTTTGGCTGGCCCATATAAAATCAGAAACCGGCTTTTAATTTAGAATTAGAAAAGGATGTAAGACCGGCTAGTTAGCGCTTGGCTGGTAATCCACGTTTTTCTTAAACGTATATGTACATAGAAATATGTTACATCAGAAATACTGAGAAATGTTTTTTTATCATTTTTGGCCATAGCGGTTTGTAATTCAAATCGATCATGTATTTTGCGTATGTTTGGTCAAAAATTTTATTTTTGTTAGCTAACTAAATTTACTGATTTTTCAGACAAAGTTTATAATCTTGCTTCATTGCATCTGAATATAATAATTCTGTTTGCCGTGTTCTTTACACGTCTTTACACTCTTTGATAGGGCATTGGATTATAATATATTTTCAGTTTAGAATTGTTCACAAAATTCTAATACGTTTAAGATATCATATGCACGTTGTTGGGAGCTGAAATCTTTAATATGCAATATCATCATAGCTTAACTGAACAGGCATCATAGCTACCTACCAAACCATCGTGCTTTTCTATACACAAAAGGTGAAGAGGTCGTACCTACTTAGGAAACAGACCCATGTCTCTAGGTACAATTCCCTGTTTGTGTAAACGAAACTATACGAGCCGAATCGGAGATAGTATCTCGCTTATAGCGCTTTCTATAACTTTTTTTTTCAATTTCGAGTGCCTTCGTTCGGCCGTTAACATTGTAGAGCCAAAACACGCTTTGTTTGCTTACGGTAGGTATGCTATGTATCTCAATACAAAAGTAAAGAGATGACAGACTTCGATTAGACGGAAATAGCTATAAGTAAAACACCACAGAGCGACAAAGAGCAGCAATGTTTGAATTCTCAAAAAAATCACTGACAACCGTTTTCGCCGAAGTTGAAAATTAAGATTTCACATTTTTTAGAAAAAATTTATAGGGTGAGGCAAAAACCTTCAAAACCCAAGTTTTGAATTAAAATAAAATGTGACTGGGAATTTTTTGTCGCACCTACACGTCAGCATGTTATCATATAGTTATTATACAATTCTATTTATATATTTTAGAACCATAATTTGGATAAAAATACCTCATTATGAAATTATCCGTTAGTGGAACTCTTGTTGCTCAATCAGGGAAAAGCAGGGCAATTATGAATTGCGTTTTTAAAAAATTCAAAAATATTTGCCTTGATTCAAATTTTCAAAGTAATACGGAGCCATTCATCGATTCGAATGCTATGATATTTGCAAGAAATTTTCGGATCTCCCAATTTGCAGTTTTTGATCGCAGTTAATTTGAACACAAAAATGGAGCCTCTTTATTCTCACAAATTTACAAATAGATAAATGTTGTGAAGATGCAAGAAGTTTAGATACGTAAAAATCAAATCCTGGCTTATAAGTTTCGATGTATACACTCCCTTACTCTCACTTTGGTATCGACACTGGACACAAAATGGAGATAACCATCCTTACAAATTACAAAAAAGAAAATGTTTATTACCGATTCAAAAGCCGATCCATCGAATTTTAAGACCATTAATTTTCTCGCCTGAAAGGTCGGATAGGTGAGGTAATACAATTGATTACGATTATGCTTCCTTAATTGGCCAGATATTTGTTTTTAGTGGTTTTAGGTGAAAGAAAATCTTTTTAGACGTTTCCAAAATTGTGGTTTATATTTTGTGAACTAATTCACCATAATTAGGTTAGTAGGTTTTTTAGTTCTGTTGGTTTTATCATAATGATGGCTTTTAACCTTTCACGAGTGACGGTTAATCAAAACATACTTGGCACATAAATGAATAGAGATAGAATATAAATAGTTGGGTGAGGATTTTAAATTGGCCGGTTAAAGCCGGTCTTCTATTCATTCATCAATATTTGAATTATAAGTTCGTTTGGTTACCCCGTGCCTCTTTCCTGATGATGATGCATTGGAGATCGGAGGTTCTACTCACAACAAAGGTACGAAGGTGACAAATGACTTTTGCTATTGCATACAGAGTTGTGTAGATTGATGAAACATATTTGACGTCTGATTCTGCAAAAGAAAAGGAAATCTTATTCAACTTAAAATGGCGGATGTCGTGATAGGGAGACGACTCCAAATCACCCACAAGTATAGAAGTTACCGAAGATTTGGTCTGATCGGCTAACAAAAAAAATACAAATGAAAGTATTGTCCTTGTTTATTTAACTGATGCTTTTATTTTGCGTGCACATTTAATTTTTTTTAAATTCGTATTTTCACGATGCTTGCAGATAAGTGAAAATGGTTAGTATCTGCATACACAACACACTTGTACCGTATTTTATATAGTGTAGACTGCTTTTAGAGCTATTATTTTGTTGAATTATAAATACCAAAAACGTCTTGATCTGAACGAAGACAACGGTTGCAAAAGTTTTCAAACGACAACACACAAAACACTAGACACCGCTCGTGAGTGTTCTATATAGGGTGCGAAAAACATCTCCGATGCCTTTTCTAATCATCAGATTGTCTAAATTCCAAATTACGAATTATCATAAATACAACCAAAGACAATACACATAATTTAGCTAATCGAGCTGATTTTTATTGACAATATGCATAAACGATCGTCAACGAGAATTGAAACAATGTTCGATTCATACCAACGAAACATAAATTTGGAGTTCGCGTATAATTTATTGAGCCAAGTATAGGATGAACAGGGATACAAAAAGCTTCGGTCTTTATATTCCTAAATGCTATTATGAATTTTTTTTTTTTTACATTTTCAACTGATTTGTGAAATAACTAAATATAACGAGAAATCCCTGAACAAACGTCAAGGAGTTTCAATGTACTTCTGTACAACGTTTGCACGTCATATCACCAAGGATGTAACGTCTTCGGTAGACATTTGAAATATTCAACTTTTACCGAATTATGAAAATACAAATACAAGGACGATGGAATATCTCAGACTGTATAGAACCAGGTCTCACCTCTTTCAAACCCTACCTTAAGGCCCTGTTTATTGAAAGCCTTGGTATTGGGGACGTTGCGAAAATAACATTGTAAAAACGCGCATCTCAAAAACGTTCTTAATTGTTTTAAATCCCGCCGTTAAGTCTTTAAGGCTCCGTTATACAAAGTGATAATGATATCGTAAAAACCTACGTCTCGAAAACTTTCTTTATTCAGGTTACGGAAAATATTATTGTCAGCAAAATCTATTTGTATTCAAATTAAAAACAGCGAGCACAAATTGAGTTAAATACATTCCTACGAGAGTGGATTTCTCTACGGGTGGTATGCTCTCATCGTGAAGGTGGAGACTCTATTATTGGCAACTCTTTCTTGACATTTAGTGACTGGTTGCTCGATTCTATTAAGATGATAACGTAAGATAAATCAACTTTTTTTAGAAAACCTGATTTCGTGCTATTTCGCAAGTTATTTCATAAACTCCTATTTTCACACCAAAATCAGGTCTGCGGTCTCGACTTATGTTCCGAACAAATGCACCCAATGCGTGCTTTAACACTTCCGGATTAAATTAAAATCCCGTTACGAGAACGTCCATTATGGACAATTGAATAAGCAAACATTCAAGGACGTACCAAGGTCACGATGCGTCGCCACTAAGCGAATACGCAGCACGTCTTTGACCCCGGGGTGGGACACAAACAAAGTAGGGTGATGAAAAGTAGTTGAAAGAGATTTTAACAATAGTAGGCAGTGGACGTCAACATGTAAACGGATCATTGGCTTAGAATGAGCGCGAACGTGATTTCAGTGACGGCTCCACAAGATGTGAAGATGTATTATTATTCAGAAAAACCACGCACGCAATTGCGATGTGAATTGGCTCGCCACATCACGAAATTTACAATTTTTGAACTGAACACCAAATACTAATGACTGTAATAAACAAATCAACAAATAGACATCAACACTTCATAGACACAAAACACATCTACTCAGCAGTTTGCCTGTAGAGGGTTCTGTGCCATATTTACTTAAAAGAACTTATTTTTTATTTGTTCACGAACACTACCGAGCAGAACTTTAAAAATTTGTGTCCAGTACAGATTTTTGCATTTAATAATTTCAGGGGTTTTCATTTAAATGGCGACACGATATATTAAATCATCATATTCTGTTGAGAATCTTAGTTTTTAGTGAAGGTTTTACAAGATTGCAACATTTCTAGATATAAAATAAAAAATATTGGGCGTGACAAATTAAAATACAAGCAGGTCACTGTTTATTCCAACACCAGTGAATTATCATACAATTTCGATGCAATATAACAAAACAGTACTTGTTAATAATAATACTAAATTTTTAATAGACTCTTTGCAATATTGGTACATTTCTAAATATAAAATAAATAAATTTATCAATTCTGGGAGTGCCACGTCAAAATACCATTAAGTATTTCACAGTTAAGCATTATCTATAAAGTGGAAATTGCTACTTTATATTTTTCTAGAAATATGACCTATTTTTCAAACATTCCAATACTTCCATGAGAAAATACACAATTCAACAATTCATACCCTTTTCAACTTTTGAATCTATGTTCAAATACTTTTATTCCACAAAAAGTCGCGAACCGTGGACAAAATATTTTTGAAAAACAAATGAGCCGGTAAGTGTTGCCTCCTCACAATTTATCATTTTTGTGCTTTTGACAAAACAATTTGATTATTTTACAATTTAATTTAATATTTGCCACAAAGAATTGGTTAAAAATGTAAGGCATTGCTACAATGTGAATCTAAAGAGTTTTAATGCAAAAAACCTATTCAAAGCATAGTGTTTGCGACTGTAAATTTGAATCGTTGTGATAAATTATTGGGCGCTCCAGAAGTGTGTTTACCAATATGGAGGTAACTAATTTTGTTCGCCTACTTTACATCAAGTTGTGTAAAGGGACTGAAACCTATGGACATGGGGTATATTCACTTGGCTAACACAAACAGTCCCGAACTCGTGATAGAACTAAAATAAGGAACATCATAATAAAATTAAGGGCTAACCCAAACCTGGTACACACCCTAAGGGGGTACCAAATATTGTTGTTTCTGGTATTGTTTGAATTGATGGGGTATAACAAATTTTGTAAAGAACTACTAGTCAGTGCAGTTTGTTTACATTCAACTACAGATTGGAACTTGTCACAAGGTTTTTCAAGCGAGATAGTTTTGAAAAAAATTGAATAATAACAAGAGAGCGATGCTGAAATATATGAGAACGAAGCCCAATACAGAGCGATATCAAATTTTTAAAGTACCAGTACAGCGGAACCGCCACACAATGCGCATTTTCTACTTTGATGACGTCATCATACAAACCTTCAGGGTGCAAAACGAATGCCAAATAGCCCACAGGAATTTTTTTAAATAAATAAACGTAATACCCTTCTATTGACAACAGCAATCTTCGACCACTGAAAATTTTAAAGCAGTTGGTCCAGTAGTTGAAGAGAAAGGCGAATTTTTCACAATAAAGATAATTTAACAAAACGATCTATAAGTTTATTTCGTTTACAATAACATACTCCTTTTTCTACAAAATAGCATGTATATTTTTATATTTTCGTTAGACCATAGTCTAACTTCTGGAGCCAAAACGACATATAACGAAAAGATAAATTAAAATTCAATAATGCAAGAGAGCTATGCTCAAATATATGGACACGTAGAGTCACATGATTTTGATGACGTCATAGCGAAAATAAAGTAATAACCTTCTGGAGAAAATTTTTATCTTTAACCACTGAAAATTTCAAAGCAATTGGTCCAGTATTCGAAGAGAAAAGCGGTTTCTTCAAAACATGTTGACGGAGACAAATAATAACAATAACAACAAAATTTTGAAACTATCGTTATGTCCACTACGTGTCCAATAAGAGAAGAAGTTAATGTCTACTTCAATGTAAGGGTCTGCATTTATTGGCTAGGGGCACTTGAATGCTGAAATTTGGCAAAATATCAATAATTCCGTTCCGAGTATAGAGTAGACATTTGGCAATGATAATGTTTTCCTAGCGCCCAGTCATCAGTTTATATTGGGAGAAAAGATAGTTTCTAGTTCTCATGATTAAAACATGAAATATACAATTCTACTTACCAAGTACTTCAGTGACTCGTCGAAATCGAACTCATGTGTCAATTTGTATCTATCATTCTCCATGAGACAGCTCTGACATGAAGTAGGCAACTGAAAAACATTGAAAAACTTGCATTATTGATTGATATATGATCTGTTAAAATTTGAGTTCAATTTAGTTTTTCAAACGCTATCAAAAGCACATGACTTTCATATATTCACATTTTACTATTGACATCACGATTCCTCAATAAATGAAATAATTGAAGAAATGCATGCTAACATCCGCTGATGAAACAAGATAGGTACATGTTTGTCTTCATGGCGGAAATGCCGGCATATAATTGTTTCAAAAAAATTGGCATATATTGTGTGTGTTCAAACAAAGTATCCTGGTTTTTGGAAACAGGATAATATTTTAAATTAAATCATCCTTAAATTTGATCCATAAACTTTTACATAAATGAAGTTATGAATTTTTATTTACAAAATATATTAATTTAATGAATTTAGTATTAATATTATTATGTAAAATCGCTCTAATCACACAGAATCTAATGAAGATTTCTGGAGAAAATTAATACTCTTTAACGGTGTCATATCGCCTCCAGTGTTTTTATCCTGGAATTGGAAGTTTTGGGGAACCAGAATCTTTCCTCAGAAATCAACTTATATTTGATAGATTTCTAAATTTAATTCCATGAATGAATGAATTAAATAATTTTAATTTTAAAATTGCTCTTTGGTGACTAGGAGTGGTCATCATCTGGGTATAATTTAGTTGGAAACTTTATGTTATTTAGTTTTATTATCAGCTAAATATATCGAATATATGTCCCAATTTAATAACGCTAACGGAAAAATTGAAAAAAGTGGCAGACGGAGGGTTTGTGTCTATGAATATATCTTATGTCTAGATAAAAGAGAAAAGAACCCCGAACTATCATCTATCATTGCATGGTATGACTGTATTCGCAATGGCAAAAAAAAGGACAAAAATGTACGAGTATATTTCAAAAAATTTCGACTTGTTCTATAGGTTTTCTGAAAGTGTTGATTACAATATTTCATTTTCATTTCTTGTTTCAACCGCTATCTCAGTGGTTCTTGAACGGTGCGCCCCACCGGGGGACGTGGACATTTTGGTAGGGGGGTATTCCTTAGATTTGATTTTGCCGCCTTGTTTTGGATATTTACATTTCTTTATTGTTTGTACATTGCGATTCCATTCACGTCTTTTCAACGTGTTGTTTGAAGAAAACATACTTTCGCCTTACAATCAGTTATTTAGATTATTGTTAGCTAGGTATTTTTGAGGTGGGGCGCGCAACCTGACAAATTCTAAAAAAAAGGGGGCGCGGTCTAAAAAGTTTTTTGTGACAGTAGTGGCTTGCAACACTTTTATTCGTTCTCTATGCAATTTCAGTAGACAGCCTGGGGCCATGTTTCGATAAAAGTTTGTTTAAAAAATAGAAAACAATAAACACAAATATTCGATAAACTTTTGGCAACCCTTTCAAAGCTTGTAAGGTCACTGGTGCTCTAAAAATATGACAAGTTTCTAATAAGAGTCAACGCTTTTGACCGCACGCCCTTAATCATTAAGGAGTTGCATGTACAAATGTCTCATGAGAATTGAGAATATGTTACTGAGGTTGTGATTCTACGTCATGTAACGTCACAGCGGTGACAGGAGACTTCATGTATTGCATCACAATGTAATTTTAAGTTCGTTAATGGATTGTCGTCAGGGTTAATTGATTGGCTATTCTGAGAAATTTCTCAATTATTCAATAATCTTTCATTTTTAATTAACAAAAGAGTTAAAAAATTTTACTCAAAAGAAAGAAAATTATTAATTAAAGTTGAAAACTAATTCGTAAGCAATGCAAGTTCCTATGAATTAGGTTACAAAACCACTTTAATTAAGTTAATTTATGTATTCAGCCATTTCTAAATTACAAACAACATTACATATCTTATTTTTAATTTTTTTTATAAACTTTGTCGTCTTATAAGTGAGATAATCGAAGCAAGATTCCAGAGAATGCAAACGAAAAAATACGAAAGCAAAACATTCAATAAAAAGGAAATATCTATTTATTTTTCACATATTTCTTTATTTACCCAAACAATTCCTATTTTTCACATTTTTGTTTCTTTATATATTCAAAACTTTATATTATTATTTATCTGTGCAGCTATAACAAAAAAAAATTTTTAGACAAAAAATTTTGTGTGGAGTGAGTGAAAATAAAATACCTTCACAACTGAGTCAACCAAGGGCATTTATTTAAATTCATTTGATTTAGCCCACAAGATCAAGACCCAACACTTTGAATTTGAATTTAAATCCATTTAATCAACGAGACCAGATTGATACCATCTTGGCAAATACCTTTGGTGAAGCTATTTTGAGAATCGACATTCAAGACGCGATTGACATTCGAATGATGGAAAAAGTATTGCCTTTTTCTTTTTCAAAAAGAGTAAATAGGCGTTTAAATATGGAGCAGAAATCTAACCTCCTGGCCATGTTTGAGACGTTGGAACATCTTTATTATATGGGTTTTAAAACAAGTCTGTTCAGAAGAGAGTAAGTTACATCTCAAGCATGACTGTATATGTTTTAGGAATTGGCTTGCTAACCAGTTGCGACTTCTCAAAATTGTTTCACGGTGACTCTAGAAGATTCTCCCCGGGGATTCGGGGCCTGCGGCACGGATTTGGACCCGGATTAAATAAGCTTTTAATTCAACCGCACCGAGACCGAATCTCTGGATCCTAGACATATGCTACGTGAAATCAATAAAGCCTCCTTTAATCTGGCCCCGTGTTTTGCATTAACTCTGATTAGTTATGAAGATATATGAGAAACGTTGTCTGATAGTGAGTCATTATGTCATCACTTTAGATCTAAGAGAAAAAAATATTTGAATTTAAACAGCAGTATTTATTCGTATGTTTTTATATATATTCGAATATTATTCAACAACGTTTTATTATGGTATACGTTTCTTGATATTTTATAATAAATGACAATTGCGTAACAAATATGCATTCATTGAGTATTTTAAAGTATTACGGCAATTTATATATTTTATAAATAAAAAAAGACTGCAGCTTTGAAATATTATAAAATCCTATTTGAATATTTCAAGCAAATTCAAATATAAATATCTGCAACAGCAGTTTTTAAATGCTAATACTTAATAGAATATTTCTTAACAAATATTCTTTAGTAAAAAAGAGGTTTTTAAGTACCTTGGATGGTTTGATGTATTTAAAAAAAAACAATCAACATCCATAACAGATTTTCACAATGTTTAAAATATTCTGAATATTACAAATAAATTTACTATTAATTGCTATAAATTCAAAAATGTCCTCAGAAAATTAAAAACAATAATGTAATAATGAATATTAATAAAAACTTTAATGCAAAAATTTTTTATCTTCAGATGGTAAAACAAACAAACATTATCTGCAAATGGTTTATTTTAATACAATGTTTATATTTAGTGTCATTTAAAAAAAAATAATATTAATAAACTAATTGTTTTGAAAATTTTTTTGCAATAATTTGTATGAATCATTTTGTAAATTATTTTTTTATTAATAATATTTTTTTATGAAGATCCTAATAAGGATTTTCTGTATCTTTATATAACTTACATAATAATTTTTTTATTTTTTCTATTTTCCTTTGAAAGACCGGTGTGAGTTTCCCAAAAAATATCTTCAAGCTGTTTTGTTTACATTGTCTGTTTCAGAACGCCTTTTTAAAAACAGAATTTACACTAGCTTGAAATAAAAATTTTGTTACCAAAACAGCTTTACAATAAACAAAAAAATTATTGCAGCTTTATCAATCTATCTTTTAAACAAGCGTATACAGTACAAATGTCAATTTAATCTTTAATACGATCTTGGATTTCTTGTTATATTTAATAAACGAAATCAAATACATATTTATTTTCACATATCTTTTCAACACTTCGCAAATTAAAGGTCTTTGGAACCTTTTATAAAAGCCTTGTCACAATTCACGCCCTTTAGTAATGTACGTTGCACCCAATGGTACTTGGATCTTTTATTTGACCTATTCTATCGTCACCCCCTATGCAATTTTAAGTCCTTTTGTGACACATTAGAAATTGTTGGCAAGTGATGATTTATTGGGCTTTCATTTTAACGATGTATTATTTTACAAAACAAATCTCAGAGTTTATTAAACAAATACATTTGCGTGCCAAGATATAAAAAGTAGGGAAAGGAAATTAAGTAAGTCCTCAGAGATTTCTTTGTGACTTATTCAATGAGCGTATTCAAATGAAAAACATTGCTGACACTTCATATCAATTGAAACAAACCTAATTCGCCAAAAGATTGTTCTGTTAAATCAAAAGAGTTGTTCATAAATAAATTGTGTGTACCAGGTTAGGGTTAGGCCATCATTTTATCACGATTTTCCTTATTTTAGTTCTTTTACAAGTTTTATTTTAAGTTATATTACGAATATTATGAGAACTGTTTGTGTTAGCCAAGTAAATATACCCCCTGCCCATAGGATTTTGTCCCTTTACACAACTTGATGTATAGTGTGCGAACAAAATTAGTAACCTCCATACACACTTCTGGAGCACCCAAAATGTTCTACCCGGATTTCAAGTACTCAAGATGGTACTTGTTGTTAGCTGTCACGCTTAGCAGAAGTGACTCTTAAACTAAGCTTCATTAGGTTTTAGTTAAGCTTTTTCCACAAATTTCAAAGTCATAACAATCTGCGTTAAACCTCAATTGCGTGTTGTGACACACTTACCCCAACGTGTAAAGAACTTAAGCCAAATCGTCGAATATGGAATTTGTAGAAGTAATTCCTCGCGGATACCATTGTTTCGTGGCTGAACTAATGTCAATATCAATTTTTATCGGAATAAGCTTTACTTGGTCCGCTGGAGAACGCTGGCAACTGCCCAGAAGAATTGTCAAGTTTTGAAAAAACAAGTATTTGATTGTCATCATTTTACTCTTCTCATAACATTGATAGATATTTTCATATTATTGCCGCAGTTCTTGTCTTTTAAACATTGCATCCATCCACACTATAT